ATATCCTGTCTTTCCTTCATATATAATGTTCTCATCAAGAGAAAGATTTTTGCACAGTACTTACTTCAGTAACTTGGGCTGGAGCAGGCGCTGCAAGCGGTCACTGACTACTGATTTCTGCAGTAATGTCTTCTCCCTGCTCTTCCCTAAACCAGAGAACATAATTGAGCATTCAGACATCAGTGCAAAGCCACTGCCAAGAAAAAAAAGAGATCCACTGCATTCAATACCCCAGCTAAAGCATCCCCCAGGTCTCCAATAAGAGCTCCCTATCTAAATCACTAATATCACGCCTGACACAGGCAAGGCACAGTCTCTAGCTCAGTTTCAGTTCCATAGAGTTCAATAAAGATCAGCAATGAAGTGTTTGGAACCCTTTAGGGCTGCAAGTGTCCCTGGAACTGCTCTAATCTGAGCAGTGCCCTTGCATGATCTCATCTGGCTTTGGAGAGCTCACGGGGTTATTGCATCAGAACAAATGCAAATGAAGGAAGGGAGCTGTTAATCGTTCCCTGGAACAATTTCTGGAACATCCCATTTTACTTTTAACTGCCTTTTTTGTGAGTCAAGTATGAAACATCAGAACATTTAACTGCAAATGTGGGGGACTAACAATATGAACATATACATTTGTTATAGCTCTTAAGGAACAGTGAACAGCACATGGAGTTACTTACATTTTGCTGAAATCAGTTGTTCAAAGGATTTTATGCCCTGAGCTGCCTTTTCCTTGGCATCCTCATTGGCAGGAGGGCCCTAATGAAGATTACAAGGGTTATATATATACTGGAAGAGTCAGATACACATTAAAATTGCCTTTCCTTCTTAGAACTTAGCATGAATTGTTACAAAAGAGACTGGTAAGAAACTCAAACCTGTGCAAACTGTCACATTCAAACTGCAAAGTTACTTTCACTGACACTAGCTCAGATGCACCAGAAGACCTAAGAAACCAAACAGATACATGAAAGAAATAAATTTGTCTGTGCTTACACAGCACATAGCTCAGAGCCAGGCCTGCTTGTGTTAGCTGACCACTGAAGAAGCGTTTTGAACATGTATTACATGTTTGTACGTACTTCAGATGTGCTACCAACTTGGGTAGGATTTAACAGATGAATTACCAGGCAATGCTTGACTGTTGGGTTAATAGAAGAACAGTGACAGTTGACATCTCAGCTACAACTAAAAGTCAAGATCCCCTTTTGCTAACAACACTTTAAAAACACATGGAAAAAAAGTAGTGACATTTGCCACAGAAAACTCAGTTTCAAAGACAATGAAATTTCAACAGTACTTTAAGCAGCAGCATGGAATTGGACTGTGGAGATGAAAACAATCAATCACAGTTAAGTTGAAAATAAGAATGGTCAAGTGCCCATGGCTGGAATGTCTCTTCTCAGAACCTGCTTTCAGACATCACAGACATGGGCTGAACAAGTATTTCCAATAGAGAGTAAAGGACAAATGAGGAAAAAACAACATTTCAAAGCCAGTAGTGACATTCAGTTACGCAAGTAAAAGGTAACGCAGTTTTAACAGTTACAATTTATATCTACCATTGAAAGCCATATCAGTATGTAATCTAGTGATGTTTACTTACAATTCCTGTTGTTTTATCCTTAAAGTACGGCTTCATAAAATGACCCAAAAATATATTTGCTGGTAGATTTCTGCCATCTCCTGCCTTTCCTATTTTTGGACCTCCAAGCTCACACATGATCTCCTTCTGCAATACAAGAATTAAACAGTATCACTGTCTCCTTCAAATTCCTAATTTCAGAGAGCAGTGGCTAAGTCACCACAAACACCCCAGGCAGGGTCCAAACTCAATTTACACCAGGCTGTAAACCAGTGTATGTGTTAAATATGGCATTTGGAGCTTCCTAAGGTTGTACAGTGCACTGCAACTGATTAAGAAAAACACTAACTTGCTACAAGAAGCTAAAATATAAAATACCCAAGTGATGCATTTTTGGTGATAAGAGAGCATGGAAACATCAGTCAGAAAAGCCATTTGAAGGCCAGCGACACCCGTTTGAAGTGCCACGAAGAACAAGAACCTGGTTCTTGGCCAAGCCACCTGAGCACAAGAGACTGCAACTGGTGCAGTCAATTCCACTGGTACATATGGTGGTCTAGGAATGCCCTGGAAAGTTTTACTGGGCTTGATGTCAAGGCAAGATGGCAACCCAAAACAGCACAGGAATGAACATTTTACTCCTGTTCCACTCACCTGCTGCTCTTTGTTTTGTGCAAGGAGAAGCTCAACTTCCTCAATCTTTTCCTGGATGACTTCCTGGTATACATGGTTCATCTGCAGACAGGTTTCTGGATCCTGTGGCAAACTGCTTTCCATATCATCACCATCATCATCATCATCACTACTGTCATCTTCTCTTTCCATTTCCTTGGAGTAATTGAGGCATTTAAGGGAAGGAAAGGGAGAAAAATGCTTGCTTGAAAAGCAGGTATGTAACATAATTATTTCTGTAACTCATGAAATAAGAACAATCCTTTGTAAATAATTAAATTCAGTTGAGTTTTGCACATAGAATTAAAGGTCACAGGTCTTTAGTAACAAATAGCAATGAGAAAGTATCTTGGGTATTGGGTTTCACAATAACGAGCCAGAACTAGATGACTGGTTGCTGACAGGACAATGGGACCTTCCAAACCTAAAGTTCAGCCAGAGGACGAAGCGATGAAGACCAAGATGATGAAGAAAGGACCACCAGGGGTCCCAAAGACCACTGCCACGTTATTGTGCGCATGCAGAAGCGGCCGTGGATCTATGTAAAGCAATTCTCAGAAACCTAATTAATATGTATGACATTTACTGGAAACGTAATGAATACATATGCTAAGCAACAATATAATCACAGTCTGTTTGATGCTTGAATGAGACACATTAGGAGGAGAGATCCCCCGTGTCTCCCAGTGCTGCTTGCCAACTTCAGCTTTGCTGGCAAGTTCTTTGAATCACTCAATGCTCCTATTACCTTACAAAACTGATTTAAAAAGAACTGGAGGCACATAACTGCTTGTCTCTCCCTGGCAGTTTGAACTGAACTCTCCCAGGAGCGGGTTCCAGCCCAGCCCAGTGCCCGTTTGCCCTGTTCATTAGTTCAGCTGCTATCCGAACCAGATACAGACCTCCTGCAAACCAGGAGTACTTTACACTGGAGCTCTCCCAGCTGCTAAATCTGCTCAACCCTTCACATTTCCAGTTCATCTGTGTTTCTACTGAAGCAATTCATCCTTTGCTTGATTTATTGTACAAGCACAGCATACCTCAGGTACAAAGCAGTAAAAGACGGCTTGATCACAAACTGATGATTTCTTTCTGTGACCTCCCCAGAAGCCACTGTGTTTCCAGTGACAGAGATCAGCAAGAACTAGAGCAGTGAGGCCCCTGATCCCCTCATGTGTTTACATATGAACAGATCTCTTTCATGTGAATTACAAAGTCCTGGGCAGGAATAACTAAACCTCCATGTCTATTAATAATCCTTCCTGAGCTCCATTCAAGCCAGCTGCCTGGATTTCCCCAGCACAGAGCTCCCTTCAGTAGACAGATGGAGAGATACATGTAAAGAGAAAGCAGTTACCATTTCAGGATGAGAATCTGAGTCATCATCTTCATCATCATCTGTTAGACAACAAAAATACAGAAACACTGACTGCAGTGGGAGTACAAGAGGAAAGCTTCAAACCCAAACCTTTTCAATCAAAGCACATACAATAACACATTGTATCTCAGTCAAGACCACTGGAGTTTTTGGCTACTGGCAATATTGTCAATATATAACAAAATATATATATATATATTTTTTTTTTTTAAGTAGGAAAAAAGCAGCTCCTGATCGCTACAATCAAGTTGCATTTTGGTGCTACACTTCATGGCACATTGCAGGCTCTACAGTATGCAGTCAAGTGAACATTCCAACCCAACAGAACCCATAAAGCACCTGACAGCCCTTCCACCCTCTTCAGGAACATCTGGGTTTGCATTCAGTGTGGCTACAGGCTTCTGACATACAGTATTCAGACTTGCATGATGGGGTCAATTCAAATACGGGTGGATGAAGAGACTGTGACAACCGGAGGTACCAAAACCCCAACTCTATCACCACCTCCTCTTTGAAAAATTAACTCGGGGAGGCACAGGCAGGGTGTGAAACAAGAGCTGCTCACACAGCAGTGCCTGCACTGCCACCCTGACAGCATAAAAACAGCTGCGGTTTAACTACGGACAGTATTTGGTGGGCTGCATTTCATGAGTCAGCTCCTTACCACCCGCCCTGACTGGAAACCTCCACCAGCGGTTGGATGGGTGCTCAGCGCTCCCCGCTAGCCTGACCGGGGCTGCGCCGGTACAAAAAGCTCCTCCTGCTAAGGGCAGCACTAAGGAGACGCCTCGAGTCCGCCCACACCGGGCAGGAACGGCGCAGTCACCGGCCAGCGCCGCACCTCAGGAGCCGGAGCAGGGGAGGCAGGAGAGGGCCGAGCCCGCGCCGCGCCGTACCCGTGCCGGAGCTGCAGTCAGACACGTCCGCGCCGCTGGCGGCCCCGCCGGGCTCCAGGCTCCGCTCCAGCTGCTCGATCTCCCGCCGGATCTTCTCCCGCTCCGCGTTCAGGTCCAGGGCCCCGGCCGCGGGGCTGCTGCGGGGCCCGGCCGCGCCCGGCCCGCGGGACATGGCGGCTCTGCGGCCTCGGGCCTGGCCCGCAATCACCGCCACTCACCGCGGTCAGCTGAGCCCGTCCGCACGTGATACCGCGCAGCCAATGGAGCGCACCGCCGATGCCGCGGAGGGGCGGGGATGGTGGCACGTGGACGGGAGAGGGCAGCCCCGGGTCCCCGCTCCCCGCCCCGGGCCCGCAGTGACCGGACACCGGCTGCGCCGCCGCCGCCGCCTTTAATGGCTCCGCAACACCCGTCACACAGCGGCCGGGACGAGCGTTACAGCCCGCACCCGGAGCCTGAGCCCTCCCGCGCTGCACGAACCCCTCCCGACCCCTTCTCCCTCCGTGGCAATGGAACAGTCCGGATGGGGACAGAACGGCAGCGGGAGTTCCAGCCAAACCCGAGTGCTCTGTGAGGTCCCAGCGGGAAGTCGGGGTGCAGGGGAAGCAGGACCCGCAGCCCCAACCCAGAGGCACATACTCTTGTCCATTTGGGCTTTAGGACTCCAGTGGCAGCAGCACCAACAGCTCTGTGTATCACAATGAGGCCAAGTATCAAAACCAGAGTTTTTGGGAATGGTTTCCGTCCTGTTCCAGTCACTGTCCATCTTGGGACACTTCCGAAATCCTGTCTATAGATGTGAGGAGATCGGCGACAAGCTGCAGTGACTCTGCTCCAGAGACCAGCTGCCTGCAAGGAGGGGGGGACACAGCGTTAAGAGGGAGAGGGTGAAGCAGGCGCCAGGCCAGTTGTTTTTACTCGGGTACTGTGATTTTCTCAGAAGCAGTTTATCTGGACTGAAGACTGTGGTTCTTGAGGTACAGGAGCCTTGAAGAAGCGTAGGAGACCTACAGAGCCTCTATAATGGTTTGACATTAAGTAAAAAAGTAAGACTTGCATGTTCCAGTCTTTTTTATTACCTAAACTTGGAGGAAAACATGTTGCAGGTAAGAACATGGAGCAGCTGATAACATACGAGATGTAAGAACCCAAGTTGCAATCCAGAAAGGAAAGCCCCTGGGGACATTTAGCTGTGACCTCTGGATGGCGTTAGGAAGTCATCATAAAACAACTCACCTGATGGAAGCCTGAGAGTTGGTTATGACAGTGAGAAGGTTCTGCAGGGCAGCATCCGCGTTCTGCCTCACTGTGGCCAGACTCGCTGCCTGGCCCAACCTCAAGGCTTCGTTCTCCGACTTGTAATTCTTGAGCTGAACCTGGGGAGGGAGCAGAGAGACTTCACCTCAAAACCGTAGAGCTCGCACAGGTAATAATCCCCAGCTAAAGCAGCTAAAGAACACGTTCACAGTTTATTAGGTATAACCAACAACAGATCCCGTAACCAGACCACCTGGAGAGGCTCCTCCCAGCTCTGGAGAGCAGCCTCCCACAGGAAACTGAGCTGGAATCACACATGGCACATCCACAGCAGCATGCCCTCAAGCCTGCTTCCTTCACAGACCCAACCAGGAGCCAGTGCTGGAAGCAGGGATGGAAGCTGCCACCGATGTGTTGACACCTCATCTAATGCCATACAGGCTCTGCCGAACTCCCTGCCATATCCCTCTGGCTTTGAGAGCACTGCTTCCCACCTGCAGTAACGCGTTCTCCTGTTTCAGTTTTGTAGCACTGTTCTCCGCTTTAACAGCCCGTTTCTGAAATAGAACGGAGATCATTTATCCCACAGCAACGTGTTTAGGATGCAACAGGCAGTTTAAGCTACATGGGAATGCCAGATTCCAGCACAGAACTCTGTTTGGGATGCACCACCCCGTGTTCTAAATGCATTAGAAGGGAAAGTGCCCCAGACACGTCTGAGCAGCTGCCTCCTCTGCACCCTCCCAGTTTTCCTTTTTGATATCTTTCAGTGCCACCCATCACTTCTGGATGTGAAATTACTACTATATTTGGGGAAACAGTAGTTGGTATAAATAAGCAGCAGGAGAAGCAGCTCCCTCCCCTAGCTCACATGGAAGGTGCTTTCGGAAGGCTGCAAAAGAGCTGCTGAAGTTGTTGATGAATCCAGAAACAGGACTTATACAAAAACCGCCCTTATTTTAGGTAACAAAAGTTCTTGACTGGGACACGGTGTTGTTGTGGGGGGAAAGTCCGAGCCCACATCAGAGCTGCTCAGTGCTCACATGGGGGATGGGATCACTCCATCTTCCCTCATGCTCCCAGGGAAGGAAAAGAGAACTACACAGCTCTGACTGCAAGATGCCTCTGCAAGGACCACCACTCACAGTCATCAGCTGGAGGTTCTGTTCCACATGCTGCACCATTGCTTCCAAATCCTGTGCTTCTTTTTCCTCTTTGATTTTGTTTTCCTCAAGCTTTTTTTCAAGCTTCCTGACCCTTAAAAGAGACAACATTCAGTGAGCACCTGCAGCATTAAATACTTTCAGAAGAAAATGCTTTTCAGAAGAAAACAGAGAAGGAATAAGAAGCTCATTCTTTCCTGTTTAAGAGCAATGAAGACTTCCCACAGAACTACACTTCTAGGGGGTGGCTCAGGGGATTTCTGTGTTCCACAGACATTAGCATTAGTGGGACCCATCCAGAGGAAAGGCCTTATAGAAAATAATCAGCCAAAGAGTGTAATTCTGAAACAGTTACCCCATCACCAGGGAAGCACCAGGTGCCTCACTGCAAGGAGCAGCAGAGGATTCAGATGGGAACTTAAGGAACCCTTAAACACCACCCTACCTTGTCACCAGGTTGTTTAACCTCAGGAAAATCAAGGCTCCCAGTATCAAAGTGGTCACCAGCAAAAATGAAAAACACTTTTCTTGTTTTAAATGGCAGAGATTAAGATTATTTTGTTATTTTGAAGCTTTATGAAATGCCTCTTGTCAAGGCCTACCCTCATTGTTGCAAAGCACCTAAACTGCATGAAGTGTAAGCCATACACACACTCCTCAGCAGTCAGTTTGCTACTCACTTTCCAAGCCTTTTTCAAGATGAAAATCAGGTTAAAAAGCTTTTTAAACAAATAGCACAGATTTCAGCTACATTCTTCCTCTTTAAAGATGGTGACTGTCTCCACCAAGAACCTCTTTTAAGACAACTCCTTATCTATGTGGTTACTTTCCCCCACACTGTGGCTTACGCACTTGTCTGCTTGAGTTTCAGAGAAAATCTGAAGCTTGTTGATCTTGCTTCTCAAAGTGGCATTCTCTTCCTTCAGCTATGAAAAGAAAAACCCTCATTAGAAAAGAGGGTGCTGTTTCCCAGCACTACCAACACTCCAAAGCCAGTACCACAAAAAATACCCAGCTTCAACTCTAGTGCCGGGGGGTTTTGCACTTTCTATGACACTCAAGCTTACTTTCACACCTTGTTTTGCCCTCTTGAAGCCACTTAACCACACTGACCCTGTGCGGCACTGAGCCACCAGGACAGGTATGAGTAATCAAACACCGTTAATTCTAAATGACCTCAAAGGGTATTAACTCTAAACTAACAGGACCTCAAAGGGCAGGAGCATGAGGAAGTCACCTGTTGCCAAAAGCTGTGGGACACACAAGGTACAGGCTCCTGCTCACGCTGCAGCACAGCTTTTCAAGCCTACTGCTCTTCAAGCTGCGCTATCAAGCTGCCACGCGCAGCCAAGCGGTGCGCGCAGCTCCTGCTGACAGCAGCTTCGAGAGCGAGTTTATGCAGCAATCCGGCACTGGAGCTCGGCTAATACAAGACGGAGGCCGCGTTAGCGTTTGTGCCTGCCCCGGGCACGGTGCCGGGAGCCCGGCACAGGCGCTCACCTCCTCGTAACTGGGCTGCCGCAGGGAAGGAGAGCCCGGCTCCGCGGGGACTCCGAGGAAAGCCGCGCTCCGCTCCTCGCAGAAGGAGCCGGCGGAGGGCGATGCGGGGCCCGCAGCGGCGAGGTGGGCCTGCTCCACGGCCAGCGGCTGGTAGCTCCCGCTCCATTCGTCCTCCTCCTCCTCGTCGTCCCCCGCCTCGCCGGGCGGTGCCGGATCCGGCAGCAACAGCAGGCCGAGGCTCGGGCCGGGCTGCGAGCGGAAAGCGGAGCAAAGGCGCTGAAGTAGGCGCGGGACGAGCCCCCCTCAGCGCGGAGGGGCCCAACCGCGCCCCGGCCCCGGCCTCACCTGCGGCGCGTCCCCGCCGCCCCGCGCCTTGCTGCGGACGAACTCGCGGAAGGAGAAGGGGTTGTGCTCGGCCGGCAGCCCGCCCGCCGCCATGTCCGAGCCACCGACCGCCCTGAGGCGATGCCCCGCCCTCCCTCAGGACCGACCAATCAGCGACGGCTCCTGCAGCCTCACCCAATCGCAGCCACACCCCTGGCGGCGCTAAGCCCCGCCCACCCACTCCCGGGGCACCGCGGCTGCGCAGCGAGGCTCCCGGTGGCGGCAAGATGGCGGCCGCCATAGCGTGGCTGAGGGGGCGCGCCTGGGGCCCGGCCCGGCGGTGAGCGCGGCCCCGTGGGGCGGGATGGGGCGGGCGGGCGGGGAGGGGGGAGCCGTTCCCGGACCCGCGGCGGGGCTGCCCGGGCACTGACTCGGGTCCCGCTGCCCCGCAGGTGCGGGCTGGCGGGCGGCCGGAGCTACAGCGGCGGCGGCGCCTACCCCAGCGTGTCGCTGACCTGCCCGCTGCCCGGCGTGCCCAAGGCGGTGTTCGCGGCGGCCGAGGGCCGGGAGCGGTTCGAGACGCGGGTGTCGGTGCTGGAGAACGGGCTGCGTGTCGCGTCCCAGAACAAGTTCGGGCAGTTCTGCACCGTGGGCCGTGAGTACGGGCGGAGCGGGGGCTATGGGGCCCGGGCGGAGGAGGGACGCGATGGGGCTGTGAAAGTGCCACTGACTCTTTCTCTTCTTAACGCTAGTTCTGGTAAACTCGGGATCAAGACATGAAGCGAAATACCTCAGTGGCATCGCCCACTTCCTGGAAAAGCTGGCCTTCTCCGTGAGTCCTGTACCGGGCCCGGCGGGGTCTGTGAGGGGCGCTGTAAATGTGCACAGCTTGAGCAGCACCAGGGTCTGATCTGCTGCCATGGGTGGTGGCAGCATGCCTAGTTAGTTATTGGGACTGCAGATGTATTTTGAAGGTCCATTGTGCTTTCACCTTCACGGTTAGTGGGTGTAAAATAGAACCGTGGAATGGTTTGGATTGGAGGACCCCTAAAGCTCATCCAGTCCCAACCCCTGCCACGAGCAGGGACACCTTCCACTAGAGCAGCTTGCTCCAAGCCCCTGTGTCCAACCTGGCCTTGAACACTGCCAGGGATGGGGCAGCCACAGCTGCTCTGGGCACCCTGTGCCAGCGCCTCAACACCCTCACAGTCCAAGATGAGCCTTGTTCTGGGCTGCCCTGAAGGTGTATGAACAGTTACTGCTTTACTAACTCATAGCGTTGCTGTTTTCTTTCTTAGTCCACAGCTCAGTTTGGCAGCAAAGATGAAATTCTCCTCACCTTAGAAAAGCACGGGGGCATCTGTGACTGCCAGGCATCGAGGTATGACTCTCCTCCATGCTCCATCACCTGAGTAGCTCTAACACTGACAGTGCCTTGAGGTGTCTGTTCTGGTGTGTGGCAGTAAAAGCGGCTTCTTGTTTGGAAGGAGCAGAAATCCATTGTGGTGGCTGTGCAGAAACTACAAAAGTGAACCTGAGAGGGGTATAAAAGTCTGTAGGCAAAGCATGACCTAGACTGGATGTCCCAGCACCCTCTCCAGCCAGACCTCAGCAGTGTCCAGGGCTGGACACCACTTCCCTGGGGAGATTATTCCAATGACTGGTAGTTCTCACTGTGAAAAATTTTCCTTTTGTGTCCGGTTGGAATCTTCCCCAGGAATAACTTCTCAGTGACCTCTCAATGCAGAACCCAGCTTTGTGTTGCAGGGACACCATCATGTATGCTGTTTCTGCCGAGGCCCGAGGCCTGGACACAGTGGTCAACTTGCTGGCTGATGTAGCACTCCGGCCCAGGCTGTCAGGTGAGGGAAGAGGAGTCTCTGCCTCAACAGAACAGACTCCCAGTGCACAACTTGCTGTTAATCTTCATGAGATTGTGCTCATCAAGAAGTTATGCAGAGATCAGGGATTTTGCATGGTGGTTGTGATGTGTGATCTCTTCTTTCCCTCGTATTACAGATGAGGAAATTGAGATGACTCGAGCAGCAATTCGATTTGAGCTCGAAGACTTGAACATGAGACCTGATCCAGAGCCTCTCCTCACAGAAATGATCCATGCGGTAAAACACCCATTCCATCTTCCATGCAGCCCCTGTATGAGACATACTGCGTTCTCCTTTTCTGTTACTAAATTACATTTCAGTGGTGGGGAGGGAGAATTTTGTTGTCCCTCCACTTTGAAATCCTCCATTCTACCCACATGAAAGATTTTAACCTAAACTGCAATTATCTGTCACTTGTCTTTGTTGACATGGGTGACAACATGTCACCGAGTTGTGCTGACATTAGTGAAATGATGCTCAGCCCCTCCCCTCTTACATGTCTCAAACAGACAAGCATCATTCTAAAGCAGGAAGGTTTAGATGGACGGATTGAAGTAGTATTTGTTACTTTAGTGTATCTGTTTCCCTTTAGGCAGCCTACAGAGACAATACAGTTGGACTGAACAGGTTCTGCCCAGTGGAAAACACAGACAAAATTGGCCGGGACGTTCTGCATTCCTACCTGAGGAACTACTACACACCGGACAGGATGGTGCTGGCCGGGGTGGGAATCGAGCACGAGCAGCTGGTGGAGTGTGCCAGGAAGCATCTGCTGGGAGTGGAGCCGGCGTGGGGCAGCAGCCAGGCCAGGGATGTGGACAGATCCGTGGCGCAGTACACAGGAGGCATTGTCAAGGTGAAAGGAAGGTGGAGGTGGTGTCGTGCCTCGTCCTGTCTGTTGGAGAGGCAGATTTGGACCTGAGGTGGTTTCTCCATAGATTTTGATTTTAATATCTGAGGGACAGGTTGATTATTGGGAGCACATCAAGCTGGATGCAGTGGAGGTGAAAATCAGTCCTGATAATCTGTCTGCCCTTCCCACAGGTTGAAAAAGATATGTCAGATGTGAGCCTGGGCCCTACTCCCATCCCAGAGCTTACCCACATCATGATTGGGTTAGAAAGCTGCTCATTTTTAGTAAGTATTAACCTAAAATCCCTTGTTCTGTGCTTGAGGAATCCCAGAATACTCTCTCATTATGCAAGCACTGGCACTTTTCCTGCTGATGCTGCACGTACAGACAAGCAGCATTTCACTGACAGTTTGAAGAAGAAGGCACTGACCTTGAAGTTCCTCTTGTGCCATGTCTCTTTGTCCCTCTTTACTCACCCCAGACTCTCAGGAGCTCTGCTTTTAACTGACTGAACTTCTTGTTGGCATTCAGGAGGAAGATTTCATTCCCTTTGCAGTATTGAACATGATGATGGGAGGCGGAGGTTCTTTTTCAGCTGGAGGGCCTGGCAAGGGCATGTTCACCCGACTGTATCTTAATGTGCTCAACAGGTTGGTTTGCCTTTCTCTTTAAGGTTTAGCAGAAACAGTCTTCTAGCAGGTGGCCTGGAATTCTGTCACCCTCCACTAGCCCAGTCCGTCCTTTCACTAGGGAATAGTAACAGAATTGGCAGTAGGTACCAGTGATACAGCTCCGTGGTGTTCTGGGCTTGGTCTCAAGGGTGCAAACGAAGAGCAGGAAGTAGATAGCACGTGCAAGAATCCTCAGAGGCAGGAACTGACCAGTCCCATTGGCATTGCTGAGAACCCTGACAAGGCACTAGGAGGGTGTTGGTTTAATTTTTACATTTAAATTCTTGTTTTTATTTTTTTTAATACTGTTTCTATGCTCCCAGGCACCACTGGATGTACAACGCGACCTCTTACCACCACAGTTACGAGGATACAGGTCTCCTGTGTATACATGCCAGTGCAGACCCAAAACAGGTACACAGCCCTGTATTCAAAAACCTGTTACCAGACCCACTTATTACCAGACAGCAACGTTCTAATCTTCTTTCAATTATCTGCATTCCTAGGTTCGCGAGATGGTGGAAATCATCACAAGAGAATTCATTCTCATGGCAGGAGCTGTAGGAGAGGTGAGCAGCCCAGTGTCTGCACTTGGCAGATGGTCTTGGAGCTGAAATAGTACATTGCACTGGCCGGGCTAGAATGGAGTTTTGTAGATAAGCATGTCTGTATTTCTGTAAAACAGTATGGTAACTTCAGCAGCACATTCAAAGAGGAAGGTGTTTGCAAAACTGTTTCTTACACAGTACCTTGTGCTAGAGCACTGGCCAGGCTTTTGGAAACATCCGTTTGTATTTGCTGCTCACTGACAGGTAGAACTGGAGCGAGCGAAGACGCAGCTGAAGTCCATGCTCATGATGAACCTTGAGTCTCGGCCGGTTATCTTTGAGGATGTGGGCAGGCAAGTGCTGGCAACAAACACAAGGAAGCTACCTCACGAGCTGTGTGCCCTCATCAGTGAGTAGACAATGCTTTTCCTCAACTGAACTGTAGGTACAGTCAGCATTGCGCAACTTATACTCTTGCAGCACAGATGAGTTGCTTTGGGAAGCTGGGGGGGCATAAATACTTCAGATACATATTTCAAACTGATCTCAACTGCTTACAAGCTAGCACAATGCTTATTTTTGTCAGAAGGAAGGAAAAACCAAGCAGGGTAGAGAAGCTCCAGAGTTGGTGATTGATTTTCTGAGCATCAATCACTTCATAAAGCATCTTTATAAAGCTTCATGCTCTTCAGAATGTAGTTGTCACACCTCTGGCTTTGTTTTTTTCCTGCAGGTCAAGTGAAATCTACTGATATCAAGAGAGTGGTCACTAAGATGCTCCACAAAAAGCCAGCTGTGGCTGCCCTGGGTGACTTGACAGATCTGCCCACCTACGAGCACATCCAGGCAGCGCTCTCCAGCAGGGACGGGCGGCTCCCACGGGTGTACCGGCTCTTCCGATAGACCCTGCACGTGCCAGAGCCGCTGCCTTTTGATATGGTTTTGAGATGATAATATTGCTGCAAACCACTTCCCCTCTCTCCCCCAGTCTTTCCAGGCAGACTCTGCAAACATGGAGCTATGCTGCAGCTGAAATAAACTGCTTCAGAGCACTGGGCTCTGAAGAGCTCGGTACCTTGGGCTTAAAGGCCCACCCTGGCTCTGGATGAGTACTTTGACCCTCTGAGTAGGTTACAAGAGAGGATGGGTGTATACAGCCTTCTCTTGGCACTGGGGAGAACACTGCAAGCCAAAATGTCCATCATTACAACTGAAAGCATGTATCTGAGCAGAAGTCACTGCTGTGTGTTACCACTAAACCATACCAGCAGCAGAAGCAGAGCGGGCACACTGGAGGCCCTGGTGTGTGCCCTTGTTGAGGAATGGGGTGGCATGGTAAGAGCTTGGCTTCTGTATCTGAGTTAAAAGAATATTTATAGCTGCTACCAAGGTGAACAAAGACTTGGTCAGACTGAATTAAGAGAATACAGGTTATTATCTACGTGAAGTTAGGCGACAAGTTTCCTGCAGTCCAGGTTTTGTTACAAGCATCCTGGATCCATTTCTTCAGCGTAATTTACCAGCTGCAGGAAATAACAGTAATTTTAGTAGAGCTCAGAGAAAAGTAGACCTATGGCATAACACTTACTCTAGGATAAAAGTGATCCTGTTCTTCAGGTTTTTCACTTGTAAGTGAGCTATGCTCAAGAACAAGGGTTCTTTTACTCCAGAGATAGTGTATTAACAAAGTTCATTCTTAAAGGAGTTGCTGCTGCTGTATCTGAAACTTGTACCTACTTCTTCATTGTCAGTCAGATGAACTTAAGGCCTTGCAAAGAGAGAACACAATTATCAGTCTTGCAGCAGAGATGTTGATCTCTGCTCTTAGCTGAGCTACACAATACCATGTAGAAAGCTGATGCTCTTGAAATTGGCTGGCACTGTTACAGAAAAACATGAAGTGCCATGCATGTGACACTGAAGAAATGGAGACCCAAAAGAGAGGACTAAAACATTTGATTTACACAATTCCCCTAACGTACGTGCTTAAAACTGTAGACAGCTGCAGTGCAGCACTTCACTGGCTAGGTGTGTATTGGGAGGAGCAATCAAACTGGGAGCAGAACACTGAAGCAGCTATTGCCTGCTTTATCCCCATACCTTTCCTCGTGCAACTAGAAGAAAATGTTGCATCGCTTCTTGTGGAACCCACAGTGTGGAAATCCCATTCAGTTGTTGTGTATGTATGTTTGTAAGAAAATAAAAGAGAACTTGACATGGAGTAGTGAGAGTTCTGAAACACGTTAGTTAATGGCTGGGTTTCATGAACTGGCAGGTGAAATGTGTTTTGTCTGTTCAATGCAAGCGATTCCAAAGGAATCTGTCCTGCTCTTCCAGGTGAAGCCGAATGGCTCAGGGCACCCAAACAGTGTCACACAGTCAGTGCTGGTTCTGACAGCCTGGCAATAAGAGCTGGTGCTCATTTCTGGTATTGCATTAATTTATTTTTATTCCTTTAAAAAGAAAGGAAATCAAATACCTGATGGCTACAGCCAGGTCAGTGCCATGAACGTTTGTACCGCAGAACAGAAGCTCTGTCTTGGACAGGTTGCATAGGTAGCAGCACTTCCTCCAAGTTGTTTGCACGGTGGTTTATGTACTAAGGTGATTAATGATCCAACCCATCTGTGCCCATAAAGAGTTCTTAAGTATTAGCTGTACGTGACCATTTTACCAGTGCCATACTGGTCCATGTAAGACGTTTAGCCTTAAGACAACACTTCAAAACCGGGAAGTTACTCACAGTTCACTGAATTGGAAAAATCCAAAGGAATTAACTAGTATCAGAGGTAATGGGACTGTGCTGATGTGACTGGCTGCAGTGTCTCTGCATTGACATCCCCTAGCATCCTGATCCCTTTGGTGAAGCTGTACTCAGACCAAGTGTCCTGCTGTGAAGGCAGGCAGCAGCATCACCCCTGCGGAGGGCAAGTGAGTTACAAGGAAGGGATTGTTTCAGTCTCAACAGCCAGATACATGGTGTGAGAGACTGATTTTCCCCCTTAGCAACAGAAGGCCTATAGAACAGTTATTGAAAGGCAGTGTCCCTACACTTCCAATGTACATTCACACAGATCTTGTTGCAGAGGAACAAAAAAGCCCAACACAGGAGCACTAAGCTTACACAAACCTGCCCAAGTCCCCTCACTGGTCCCTGTTATGCATTTGACAGAATACCACCATACATTTGGCTACAGATAAGGAGAAGAAAACAACCCCACAACATAAGTTAACCCGATCAAACCAAACAGACAAACAGATTCACCTTCCTGCAGGCTTTTCTGAGGTCCCTTGTCATGCCAGTTCCAGAAGCTGGGCCCCCTGCATGGAGTCATTTTAGAGGCTGCATCCGGTTGCTTCCGAAGATAGTATGGATAAAATGAAATCAATTACATCTGTTGGGATGGATGTCCTACATAACTGACTCCATTTTCTTCAGCAAAAGCACTGAGCTACATGGATTAGCTCATGCAAATGAATCCAGGATGAGGTTTAAGACATTCTGCAGGAGCCACAGTGGCTGCCAGAGGTGCTTAGGCAGACAATTCCCTGCAGAGTTTGTTGTGGCCTGAAATCCTCTTTCCGGGCACCTCTAACACAGAGTTCTGAGCTCAGGAAATGCTACATATGCTGCTGGATTTTTGGTCCTTTTGCTCTTTCCGTTTCTGAAGTTCCCTCGTAATCCGTCTCTTTATGCCGATTAAATAGAGTTCTCTGTCGAACTGCCCTGCAGCCAGTGGAATGCTACAATGCAAACACAGGGAATTGGATCAGGGTACAAACAGAGTCTTGTTTCCCCACCATTTCCCAACTAGTTTATACAACAAAGGCCAGAAACCTTATTTTTACTTTCTTTAGGCATTCAGCTACTGCTGTGGGCGAAAATGGCTAAAACATTGTTCTTCCACAGCAACAAGTGAAGCTTTTTCCCATTGAAATGAAGGAAATACTGGTTGTAAAAGGCAAATGTACATTCAATTTAAGCATGAAAATGCCAGCATTCACGGGGGACATTCTTTATGACCCTAAACAAAAAACCACTCCTTTGAAAAGCTGAACAAGCTGACTCCTACACCACACAGTTCTTACCTCAGTCTCTTCTACAGAGGCCAGAGGAAGACCCAGCAGCATAGCTTCACCTATTTAACAGGTATTTAACAGCCATAAACAACAACAAAATAATCCCAATTCTAACTGCACTGCTGACCAAGTGCTTTGAGAAGTCACCATTTTCTAGATACCTGGGTCTTGACATCCCCGACCACGCAGAAAAGAGATGAACTCAATTTCAGCGACAACCCAATTTTCTAAGGAGTTCTATGAGCACAAGAGCCCATGAGGAACTTGGGAGGATCTCACTCCACTGATGTGTTGAAATGCAGCCACCACTGAGGAGGGAAAACAGCACTGCTCCCAAGGAGAGAAAGAGGAACAGAGAGGAAAGCTGTCCATGCTGACAGAAAAACCAGAGAGCTGCAGCTCAGATAAAACAGATTTATAGTCGATTGCAGCAGACTCTATCTCCCTCAGGAGGATTAAGGAACCCAGCCGCAGGGATTTCAGATGTCAGTGCAAGGTTTAAGCACTCTTACTGCTCTGACCACTGAAAGTGTATATTGGGTAAAAACCCAGAGGCTGCACAGAGCTGCATGGGATAAACTCTATTTCAGGAACTCTCCTGAGAGGACAAACTGAACAGGAGCATATCCTCAGGTGGAGCCATGGGCAGTCACACACAGGGGCATAAGGAGGTACTAACTTGTCTCTGCCAGGCCTCACTTTCACCCGAAACAAGGCAAACACAGGCCGATGGTCTGAAGTTTTGATCACAGGACACGAGGAGTACTTGACAGCGTGGATATCATCCCTGTACCGACTGCGGAACACAACTCGGTCCTGCAGGGCAGAGAATGGGGGAGAGGGATGTAATTCCTTTAGCACATCCACCTGGAAAAAAGCACGGGTTCACAGGAGACAAATCCCTTCATTTATCACATTCCAATTAGTGAAATTAAGTGTCCTGGACAGGGACACATTCATGAAGAGTGAAGAACCAACAGTGGCTCTGCATCCAGCTCTGAGCACAGCACAGAATGCAATGAGCAGGATGGAAGGCAGGGAAAATAAGATCTGCAGCCTGTGCTCAACTCTTCCTGTGCTCTCAGATTGAACAATCCTTTCTTCCAAGCCAGCTCCACATGCCCTGCTGCCCCGAAGCAGTACATCTCAGCATGACTGTATGTCATGCAGGTGGTCTGTGGAAAGCAGCTTTTCCTCGCAGCTGAGAATCCCCTTTGGAGGCAGACATGGGGCTGAGCAGCCCCTCTGAGCCCGCTGCTCTGAAAACGTCCCTACCGTGTAGGAAGGAGTCCTCTGTTTGGAAGTGGTGTCATAGCTGTCCTTTCCTATGTCAAACTTGTAGGAAGGGCGGAAACGAATGTCAGCCTCTTGGAATCCTTTGAAAATAGACCCTGTAAAGGATGAGAAAAGCATGAGAGACAACATTCCTCCTTCCTAAGAACACAGCACATTTCTGCATGTATTCAACACTGCTGGCTACAAGCAACAGCCATGTACATCCATGACTAATAAAAAAAGCTGGGCTTGGGCTCTAGGAAGGAAGAACTGGAAGCAAGCTCCAGTTCTTACACAGTGAGGATAAAAACCAGGCAGTGGCTATTTAAACAAAGAACACTTGGTGCATGCACGTCCCCTTCCAACGAAAGCTCAGGATGCTTTGCAAGTGCTACCGTTCAAATCCAAATGCCTGAGATTGTGACAGAATTAGGTCCAGTTTATAGAGGAGTCAGATGAAACAGAGATCGGGAGATTAAACCATATATAGCAGAAAGCCCCTTGTACAAATTGCCACTGTATCTGACATCTGCTGACTTCCTTTTTTAGGGAATCTAATGAGGAAGCAGGAAAGGTCTCTAGGAAATAGGGATTTGGCTGTAATTATTTCTCTGTGTAGATATCTCTGCTCCTGGAGACTGGGAAGAAAACCAGCTTCCCCTCACCCCTGCTCATTTCACTAGTGAGCTGGTCATACGCCAGGAGCCTGGACACGTCTGTTTCAGGGTTCTGGTTCAGGATGGAATCCACAGTCTCCCGATCCTTATTTAGTCGGAAGTTAAAGTCACCAAACCAGAAGACTTCATCAAACCGTGTTGTGACATCACCTGCAAATCCAAGCCAGAAGGGTCAGAATGAGGGAGAACTCCCTGAGAGGTTTGAAAGCAAAACAAGAATCCCAATGTTTCTGCCCCGGATCTTCCCTTTGACTCTGGAAGAAAACTGAAGCATGGGATGTAGCTACACTCAGTAAAATGAAACTCCATGCTTTCAAGTGAGAGGCAGAGCTTACTGAGAGTGCTGCCAGGTGTATGACAAAGGAACGGGCATAAATTCTTTCTTTTTACTACCAGGAGCTAAAATACTTGAAGCACATCCCTAATATTGATAAAGTGAAACCAAAGTGATCTTACTGCTGCTCTGAGAAAAAATACATCACAGGAAAACTCCTTTTGATTTTTCTCTCCTCCTCCATTTCAACTTCTCTCAGATTTCCCCCCAAATTACATCCCACCTAAAAACAATGAATCGTGCGAACAGCACCATCCTCAGACAAAAAGAGCTCTGGTCTCTTTCAATGCTGTCTCAGATCAGCACTCTCATTCTCCCTTCCTTAGCACAGACTGAAAACTATGGCACAAACCCTGTTCATTTGGGCTCCCACCCAAGCGAGGTTTCACACTTACTAGAACTGGATCGATATGGGTTTGTGTCCGGAACATTCTTGGGAAGTGTAAGGCTCTGAATGGTTTTATTGTAGTCCAGTTTCCTCTCATTCACCTTGCTGTCCCCAGCTGAAAGACAAAGCACATTACTGCCAACGATGCATCGCTTTCATTCAGTTACCACTTTTGGTTAAAACAGGAGCTTCCAAAGGACATCGGATGTTTCCCACATATAAAATGTTAACACTGACCCAGGGCATACACACACTGAAAAATGATGACAGGGAGTGTGCAAAGAGGGATATAATTGTGCACAGTTCATTTCTGGTTTTTTAAAACCAGTTCTTTTGCGAGTTTAACTACCAAAAAATCCTCTTCCCTTATTGTTCTCAGCTCAGCAATCCTGAGCTTTGACTTCAGCCTGACCTGCACCTCTATTCCCCTGCAGCTTTCTACCTCTGTAAAGCAGCCCCTCTCCTCCCTCCCTCAGGACACTTGAATAAGACTGTAAACATCTCACATGTGAAGTGGGAGGTGATGAAGAGAAAGGAGGTCCCAAAAAAGGTGAAGGAGATTCCCAGAGCTCCCTTGGTTTTGATCTGAGATACGATTCGAGTTGTCACCGTGGCATACTCCACTTCTGGAAGGAGAAAAAGAAGCTGCTTTTACTGAAAAGTCTCTACAGACAGGGAGCAGGGAAGTCAGGGGAAGAACAGCCCTGGAGATGTGATGGCAGCAGTCCTTCAACCTCCCCGCTCTCCAGCTCTTACTGGACCACGCACCTGAGCAGAACCAGATCAGGTCCCTCCGAATGAAGACCGACATGTACAGCACCCCATGCGCAGCTGAGTAGAGCATGACGTAGTGGGGGCCCAGTGTCTCCTGCAGGCGGATCTCCCACTCTCTTCTGCAGGAAAGAACAACAGCTGGATCACAGGGATGATACAAGAGACAATAACCAGGAGAGGAAATCAGCGTTGTGAAAACAGAGCAATCCCTCTGATAATGTCAAGTGTGTGTCAGCAAAACCTCCTGGGCTGCAGCAGGCTTCGCTGCTGCCACCATACCCACTTGCACGTCTCAAGGAAAGACTCCCACTGGGAAATACCCTAAAAAAGCAGAGTCTGACATGAGGCTTCAACCACTCTTCCTGGGTTGATCAGCCTCAGAGAGACTACAAACTGGAAGCATGTAACACTGCTGAGTACACGGCTGCTAACGCCAACAGCCAGCCTGAGCTCGCTCATGGCCAGCTCAGACCCGTGGTGAGATGCCCACAGAAATCAGATGGAGTTTTGCTGTTACCTGCTCTGACAACAGCACCAAGGTCTCTATTTACAGATCTTTGTGACATTTCCCTCCCAAACCCACTTCCCCTGGTGCTCATGTAATGGAATTCAGATTCTTATTAAATGTGGGGGGGTTTATTGACAAGATTAATAATACAATGGAGACTACCTCCAGACTAATTAAAACAAAGGAATTAATTAGCAATAAAAGAGGATGGTTCATTACATTGTTTTTGCTACCTGTCTGGACAGCCTTCTTGAACCCCAATGACATACATGTCCTGGGCATAGTCAGGGTCTGTTGGTAATAAAAAGTCATCCAGATTCAATGGAAGTTCCTGTTATTAGAAAAGAAATAAAGATCAAATAGCAATATTGGTTATGCAGAGTTTTAATAGAAAAGTACAAGGAAAGTCCAGGCTAAACTATGAGTTCCGCAGCATACGCAAACAATTCAGGCTTCAAAACCCAGGTGAAGTGATATTACTGAGGAGTCTCCTTCCGAAAGGCAGACTTCAGCTGCTGCCACTGCAGCACTAACCCAATACCCACAGTTCAGCCATGTGGGGCAGTAACGTGATGTTTCTGATTTCCAGTGATGCTTTCACCAAGCCCACAGGCTATTTCCTGAACACCTCAGGGGTCATCAGTGCTCTTCCAAGTACAGCTCCCCAGTCTGCTGGCAGAATCAATCCTGAATTCCTACACTACATAAGGATGTAGGCAGGAGACTGAGCAGCAGGGACATTCTCATCGTAAGCACAGAATCATCAGTCATCTTCATATGGCCCTAATTCCAACAGGGTGTAAAGGAGCTGCCAGAAAAAGCCACAGAGGTCCCTGTTTTCATAGCCAGTATCTAAGGAACCCCGTTACAATGCACTCTCACAAAGTAAACACACCAGAGGGCCTCATCACTGTAGCAAGACAGTGAACTCGGGTGGACAAGGAGCATAGTCATGAATAGGAAAAGCCACCACACCAGTCCTTACAGTAAGGCTGGGGTAACCTCGCCCCTGCCAAAAGACCTGCAGAGACTTCTGGGCACGTACCTTCTGACCCTGCATGTTCCAGGTGGCCACAAAGATTCCAATATTGCGATCAGGGAAATACCTGCTAAGTTCTTCTGCTCCCAGTAAGGCACCACTTGCCAGAAGGCTGCCTTCCAAATAGCTTCTGTGAACAGAAGAGCCATAAAAGAGCATCTAAGGAAAGGGCACAACAGTTGGAATAATGATTGGCAATGCTTGAAGCTTGAGTTAATCAAGAACATACCTTTAGCTCAAGAAAATGGCATTTAGCATTTATATACTGTTCTGCTTGCCTGAAGCTCCTTATAAAGTTCCAGTCCTCATGGATCATACACAGGAAAACAAAACCCTTGTCCCAAACCAGCCTTTTCAAAGCCACGACATGAGTACCATGGTGAGACCGATGCTGCACAGGCTCTGTGATGAGGAGGCTGAAGCTATCCAAAGTCTTCAGTCCCCACTGTACTTACCACAGACAGAACATGAAGAGATTGGTTTGATATCTGAGCATCCTGAAGCAGCTCAGTTTACATAAAACACAAAAATACCTCCAACCCTCCCAGTGTTCTGGTACCAACTTGCTCCGAATCAAGGATTCAAACTCACATTCCTCCTTCAATTCAGCTCATCATGACAGCGTGCAAGTAAACGATTTATTGAGTCTGAGGTCTAAAAGAACATCCCATTCAATAAGGACAGCTCTACCCTGCACCGCCTGCCTCTCCCAAGAACACACTGCTTATGAAACCAAAGGGGTATTGGCAAAGGGACAGCAAGTTGAATAAGCATTTTTAATCTTGCTTAAGCTCTGCAAGTAGAGATGGCAGTACACTGGCCTGCCCAGCTCCCAGCTCACTCCAACAGCTTCCCAGAGGGAAATGAGAGAAAAACCCTTACAGCAAACAAGTAATGATCCATCTTTGGGGCTTTTTTAGCAGTAACACTTTACCTCAGAATTCATTTCCCCTGTACCACTGTCTCCCCACTCTTTGGATCAATGATCAGATTTATCCCTCAGGGCCTCACAGACTGCTGTGTCTCTCTAACATACAACTGGTGTCCTTTACCTTCTATCACACTTCCTGCCCAGCAGCACCATCAGTAATTCCTGCTGCAGTGTATGTGTGCGTGCTGTGTGCTGGCAGTGTTCACAGACAGATGGTCTGCAGCCAACACAAGGAGAGGGTTCAATACACTGACAAGCAGATTAAAGCACCTCCAATTAACAGCCTAAACTTAACTAAGAATAAAGACAAATGAGCAACCAGAGCAGGAGGTCAGGGCCATGCCAGGAGAAAGTGCTGAGATTTGCATGGAATCACACCCTTCCTCAAGAGCTGATCCTGCCAGAAGCCAAACAAGCTCAACATCTGCAGAGGACCCTCAGCACCTTACAGGACTGTGATAGCATTGCAGGTACTGCATGACAGTTTTAAGCTAAGCTATTTGGGTATTCTCCTGCCATTTATCATTTCAGTTCAAGCCCAGCACACTTTTATTGGCACAGCTACTGCTCCTTATTTTTAGAAAGATTACTTAAACATTACAAGCAAGCCAGGAACAAACCAAACTTACATTTATGAAAACCAATACCCAGCTAAAAGGAGCAGATCCAGTGTTTGTACTAATCTCTTCACCTTCAAATTGTTTCCAGTCTCTGCAGGAGGTTAAACACAGAACAATGTCTGTCCTTGCTGATCAGTTGGAACTTCCCTGCCCCTGCCCAGCAGGATCCCACAGGGCAGCTGGTCCCTGCTAACACCCTAAACCCTTCGCCAGGAGAAGCTTGGGGACATACCTGCTGCGGACATCCTTGGAGCGGATGGGAGTGAGCAGGCTGAACGTAGACTTCATGGAGTCCGTGGAGCAATTATCATAGACCATGCCGTTGCCATGCAGCCTGGTATCGCTCAAACTGCTGCTCACCCTCCCAAACTTGTGCTGAGAATACTGTCGGTAATCCAGGCAATCCGAGTCAATCCTGTTTGCTGTCCTCAGCGAGGGAGAGGCCACGCTGAGCTCCAGGGGCGGCAGAGGTCGCGCCGGCATTACCTGGGCCAGCCGGGGCTTGCTGCCTGCGAACGCCTTCCCCCGCAGAAGCCCCCCAAAGGCACTGGAGAGCTCAGAGGCTCGTTTCCCCAGGTCGGAGGTGCTCCCTCGGCTCTTCCCCGCGGCACTGGCTTCCGAGGCACCCGGTGAACTGTGCAAGGAGTTCTGGTGGCAGCACCGGTGGCAGGGGCCGGCCCTGCCCCGGGCAGGAGGGCCGAGGGCCGCTTCCTGCAGGGAGCCGTTGGAGGAGCTCGTCTCGTTGGGGTCCGTCAGACTCTCCTGGCTCGTTCGAAACCGCCTCCACCTCCTCCAGCTCTTCTCATCCAGAGACGCAGCACGCTCCAACCGGGGCTTCTGAGGAGGCCTTGGGGAGAGTGGCTTCATTTTCATGTTGGCTTTGAGTTCATCGGGTAGGAGCTTTAAGGTTTCATTTAAAGCAGTGCCTGCACTTGGAGTATCTTCAAAGGTAAGCGCCCCATTGCCACCAGCATCCTTCTTTGCTGCTTTTCCTGCTCTTTTAGCGTGTAGGTCCTGCACTGCTCCACCCTCCGTGCTCCGAGTGACACACGCCCCTGAGTGCTGCGGAAATCCATTTGGAGTACTCATTCTCCCCCAGATACCAGCAAGTCACTGCTCCACGTGAAACGCTCCTCACAGCATAGTTTCCTTCCCTTGCTTACCCCGTAGGTTCACGGGGCTCTAACTAAGCCACAAAGAGACGGCAACTGAAGACAGCTCAGTGTGTGTTGAGGAACGACGGGCAGGCGCAGGCTGCTGCATTGTCTGCAGGATTTCAAGAGGTGGGATACCTGGATTTCCCCAAGAGAAAGGCATAAGAATGAAACATCACAAGCTGCAAACTCTGCTCCTGAGCCAGAAAGCAAGCTCCTCACAGGACCTCCCTCCACAGCAATGCCAACCTTAACGTGACCTTGTTAGAAAACCATTGTTCTCCCTTTCAAGAGGTGAGCAGGGAACCGACCTCCCCACCGCCGGCGGCACCACGGCTGCGCACAGACTTCCTTAGGGAACGGTTGCGTGCGCTGGCAGCGGGGAAGGAAACGCGAGCAGCGCGTAACCCGCAGCGCGCTCCCCAGCCCCCGCACAACACCCCCGGGCCGCCCGCAGCACCCGGTGCCCGCGGCCGGGAGGTTTCCCGTGACCTCAGCTCCCACCGCGGGCTCACAGCGGGGAGGCCGCTGCCGCCGGCACTGGGGAGCAGCTCAGGACCCACAGTGAGGGTCCTGGGCAGACCCTGCTCGCGCTCGGCACACACCAGCGCTCCCTGCCCCGAACGCCGGCGGGGCACCGAGGGAAGCCGCCGCCCCCTCCCACGCCCGGGGACGCCCCCGCCGGCTCCTCGCACCCCCGGTCCCGCCACACGACCCCGCGCCCCGGCGGGGAGCGGACGGGCGAGACCCGCCCCCCCCCAAGGCCACCCCCCGGGCCCCGCCGCCGACAGAGCACTGACCTCGGGTTCCGCCGCTGACGGGACGCGGCCCGGGCCCCGCCGCCTCCACCGTCCCCGCGGGGCCTCGGCGGCCCGGGGCGGGCGCAGCTCGGAGGCCCGCGGCGCCCGAGGCCGCCACAGCACCGTAGCAACGGCGGTGACGCCCGGGCCGCCCCGAGGCAGCGACCCCTGGCGGCCGGAGGACTGCCCCGCCCCGAGGGAGCGGTAAATAAATCACTTCTGAAACCGCTCTGGCTGGAGGCGGCGTTTGAATGAGCGGCTCCAACCAAGGCCTTTTCCGCTCCAAAACCATTAAAAGCGGCTAAGATTAAGGCTAGAACTTCAGTTTGGGCCGCTTCAGTGATGACAGCCGTGCAGAGGGCAGTGCACTCCCGCTCCCTTCCCTCACAAATCGATGGCAGTAGTGGAGCGGTTCCCACCGCAGCAATAACCACAAGAAGAAGTAAAATGTGAAAGTGCTCCAGAGCGCAAAATATTTTATTTCAGAATGTACAGTGTCAAATCTTACACTTAGGAAAGAGCCGCTCCCCGCGCAGAGGAAGCCTTCGTCACGGAACGTGGCTGGCAGTCTCTACTGAAAGGAGAACACAATCAGCAGCCTGGCCGGGCTAGAGGGAAGCCAAGCGTCTGCCAAGGTTTTGATTATAGAAAAGTAAACCACACTGACTGCTGCTGCCCGCGGCTGGAGGATGGACCGCAACGCAAAGGTTTCTAATCCCCTCCAAACAGCGTTCGACTTCGGCTACATACAAACCTTCTAGGACACATGTAAGGCGATCGAGAGCTCAGAAAGGTGGCATTATTCAGGAGAAGAAAAGAGAAAACTATGGGGGACTGACACTGGCAATTTCACATTCACGTTATTTCTACTCGGGGGCAGAAATTCAAGTAAAATCAAAGAGTCTGGTGTCAAGTTCTAAATAAAATATGGCCTACTGATTTAATAAATATTTAAAGTTTTTTTCTCTCTTTGCAGATAATTCAGATTCTTCAGCGAATATGAATGTTGCATATCATGGTTTGCAAGATTTCCTATATTAAATCTAAAGATTTTAAAGTCCTTCAGTAGAGGTCTAATCCGTCTACTTTTAGTACGTTTGAAATTCAGCCGTTAGCTATTTAAGACCTCGGTTATTTTAGCAATGGAATTTCAAGAACAGAGTATTACACTGATTCTGGCACTCAACAGGAAAAGAAACTTAACTTTCAAGCTGTTACCACCTTAATTGCACAGTGCCAGCAGTTTGAGAGAAAGCAAGTAACCGTATTGCACTTAAAAACACTCACTCATCAAATAGTACAGCATTGGCTATTATACAGAGAGCTTCTTCCCCACTATACAATTTGCTTTACAAGTAGTCTAAACCACAAACTACATACAGACTAGGTAAGTTCCCAATCAAATTACCATTAGATTACAGTCACAGTTTTCATTCCATATAGGTCAATTTATTTGGATGAGCTGTGGCCCCCTCCCTCCTCCAAAGAACCAATCAGCACCAGGCGTTTCCCAGAGGAACATCTCCAGTGCCTCACACTGGGAAACCCAGTCCTGTTGGATAAGTGTTACAATTGTGCATGGTCCTCTTTAAGGCCACAGAGCGTTATGTTACAATGTGGACATGGTTTTCCCCCCCTGGGAGGGGAAGCATCCTTCAGAAATTAAGGAATCCCTGAAACTCTGCCTTCCAAAGTCACACTAGTAGGTTTCAAATAAACTCATGGAATAAATTGCCTATGCAATTTACAAACAGTTTTTGTAACAGACAGCAACTATTTCCTCCCTCATGTCTATTCTTTATCTCAGCAAAGCTATTTCCAGCCAGGTTTTTAAAAAGGAAGTTACACATATTTCATGTTTGGTAATGGTTTGCGTAGATGAGGTGCAAGCAGGGAGACCCATGAAAAAAATCACCCATCATTCAATCTGTCATGTCACCTGCAGCTAGTACTGATACCATGTGCCATAACTGAATAGCTCTTTGCATACTCAGAACACGAGTGAGAATTCCAAACACAAAGCCACTGTATTCTACTTCAATGTTGGATACTTCCTCTGTCCAATTCTTCCCGGTCTTGAACTTCCAGTGACTGCAGGAGACTGAAAAAGGAGAACAGGAATAAAAAGCATTCTGTAAAAGCTCATCCTGGAGACAAAACGCAAAGTTGGCACTGAAGTTTTGAACACAAACCCATTAAAGGGGTGCTAGACTGGTCTGTGAACACATTTAACACTCTACATGCAACAGGCACAACTGAACTAGAGTAAAGCAAAGGGATGGGTTTGTTCAACAGGTTTTGTTCAATGGTTTTGTTCAAAGTAAAGACAAAGCCTTTACTCACTTGTGCAAATTGAGAAGGATTGTAGAAAGGAACTGCTCCTGCTGAAGGTCCCCCTGCAGGTGGCACAGCGGCAGGCTAGGAAGCAGATAATACTGAAGTTACAAACTGCAGAGCTCCCCTGCCTCTCAGACATGGTTTGCTTGGTCATCTAGAGCAGATATCCACAGTACTAAATGCCAACAGTATGGGCAGCACAGCATTTGTAACAACTGCAAAAGTGCTGGTACAGTTTGCATCCAGATCTTAAGTATTACTTGCTTAATGTAGGAACTGGCAAAACATCACATGCACAAACTGTAAATAGCTCTGAAAATCCAAAGCATGCAAAACCAAAACAAGACACCGGTGTGACTTCACTGAATTAGTACCTTCTGCTTTTGTTAGTACACCTGAGGGCTCGCCCCAAAAGAAACGTTCTATGTTGAGTTTTGCTTTACTTAGAAATATCAGAGAGAGTTTGTGTCACCCCTTTATGGTGAGCCCACAGCACTGGAACTCACAGCAGAGATGAAGCATTCCTTTAATTCCTACAGGGGCTTTTGCAGATGAAACAGGAATTGGTGTTATTACCAATTGGAGGCTGGCAGCAGCAGGATGACAAGGTTTTGCTTGGGTGAGGCTTTTTTTGTTGCTGTTGGTTTGGGTTTGGGGTTTTTGTTTGTTTAAAATCAACTGACAACTTTGGTATCCCAGGAAAGAGCTGATCAAAATGATTAAGTGAGTCTCTTAGGAACATGAGCATAAACAAAAAGCATGCTTGGATTACATGCACTCTCATGGATACAAACAACTCTGAAGACCCTGTTTGAGTGTTAAAAGGAACACTACATCATTAGTTACTTGTGATGTTACTGTGGTGAAATGAGCAGAGGGGAAAACGACTAAACAGTAGCATTAGTATTTGAGCAAATGCAAAATAAAAGGGGGGGGGGAGGGGGGAGTAAGTAAGTGAACATAAATGAGAATGGCCAGCCACATGTACCTGATTAAAATGCTGGCTTACTTCACGTGATAATGAACTCATTGAACTAGAGCGCGAAAGCTACAAAACAGCAAGAACACACAAATACAAAAAAACACAAATAAAAAAGTCGTCATGCATGTCACTGCCCCAAGCTTTCAGTTGTTTTATTTCAGTTTCAAAGTCTCTGCCAAAGGTTAAACCAACTTCAAGTTAAACCAACAAAATAAAACGTAAAGCCAGAAGTTAGTTTAAATCAAAAGGGCTTCTTAAAGCACAACATTATGTAGCTATAGAGAACATTTAGTAGGAACAAGGGCAATGTTACTCTGCCTGGCACATAGCAATCTGTTCTCTTTGTCGTGTCTTGCACTCAGTATTAGTGAAATTATACGCATGCACGGAGGCAAGAAGAGATCCTCACACTGCTACTGGTATTTTACTCTGACAAAGGTTTGTCAAAGTCTACTTCATAGAAAAAAGATTCCACCACATGTAGGACACAGAGGCTGAACTTCACACAGGGGCTTAGAGTTCTTGTCTGTACAGTTTTGGAGGCAGTCACATGATTCCATCTTGGCTAGTCATCAGCAACTGCATCACTGACTTGTTGGCTGGCCCATGATAAATCCTCTACAAATTAATGGTTAAAATACGTGTCAGAAGTCATCAGCTAACTACTGTGAATTACGCCTTACCTCGCCTGACTGGGAGCCATCGGGGTTAGCAACAGGAAGTCCAGATCCAGGAGGAAGGATTGCAGGGTTTAAGTACTAAAGAAAAACAATGCACTTCTGTTTATCTTTACTACTATGATGCTATCTCACATTTCTGCTGTATTGATGCAGATGTGTTCTCTGGTCCCTCTCCTGACACATATTGCTCCCATAGACAGAATGCAACTCATTATGGGCTTCCCATTTCCATTTCCACTTGCATTTCCCTTCCCCAGTTCTTTAATCAAAATGCTATACACAAGCATCATCCCTACAACATCATGTTTTGTGGCCATGAAACTATTACTCAGAATCATGAAGGGTTTTTAATCAGAAGCTTGAATTCTATATATAAGACATTC